AAATATAAAATACATAAAAGCACCTTCGGAGGGGGTTGACAATGTCATGGAGTAGTGTGTTCTGAATTGGGGTATCTCGAGGTGCTGTTGATTTAAACAGCATCGAGTCCAGCACAGAGGAGCAGGAAAACAAACTGAAAACACAGAAAAGAACAGTGGGTTGACATGAGAAAAGTCACATGACAGTACGACAAAAAGCAAAACTCTGCATTAAATTCAGGGCTGCTCAGCTTTTCAAACTATTGCCTTCATGAGCTATGTGAATTTGATTGTTGTTTGCTACAGTTCAGCAGGTGACCCACAGAGAAAAGAGAGTTTTGAAAATGCTGTCTGATTACAATTTTGTTATCAGTGTCTATAGTAAAACCTTTCCTAAAAATATTGTTCACAGAACTAGTTCATAAACTCAAGCAGGTTATAAGTCTGTACAAGTTAAATTCCACCGTGTACAGAAACTAACATCTGTCTGGAATATAGGAATGAATGAAAAACATCTGCATGCATCACAATCCATCTTATTGCTCATCATATATTCATCATCCTGACCTGAAGAGGGCAGCATCCATGTAGCAGGAGTTGCAGTGGCCTTGGATCCCCTTCATTCGTCCAATCAGAATCTGGTTAACCTGCTCAGTGGTGATGGGAGGAACAGTCTCCAACTTCCCTGTGCTGTGCTCTGTTTCTCTCTCTGACGCAACACACAATCACACACAGAAATTATTATGTCACATCAAACCATAACACATTACACAGCAAGCAGGTCCAGCTGGAGATAATTTCTGATGCAGTGTTGCCCCCAGCTGTTGGATGAGCTGGTAAATGCAGTATCCAGCTTAATGTGAGATAGTATCTTGTATGCATTATGTATGTACACTCACTGGCTACTTTATTAGGTACACCTGTTCAACTGCTCGTTAATGCAAATATCTAATAGGCCAGTCACATGGCAGAATCTCAATGCATTTAGGCATGTAGACATGGTCAGAACTATCTGCTGAAGTTCAAACTGGGCATCAGAATGGGAAAGAAAGGTGATTTAAGTGACTTTGAAAGTGGCATGTTTGTTGGTGCCAGATGGGCTGATCTGAGTATGTCAGAAACTGCTAATCTACTGGGATTTTCACACACAACCATCTCTAAGGTTTACAGGGAATGGTCCGAAAAAGACAAAATATCCAGTGACTGGTTTCTTGAACATGACAATGAGTTCATTGTACTCAAATGGCCTCCACCGTCACCAGATCTCAATCCAATAGAGAACCTTTGGGATGTGGTGGAACCGGAGATTTGCATCATGGATGTGCAGCCGACAAATCTGCAGCAACTGCGTGATGCTATCATGTCAATATGGACCAAAACCTCTGAGGAATGTTTCCAGTGCCTTGTTGAATCTGCCACAAAGAATTAAGGCACTTCTGAAGGTAATAGGGGATTCAACCCGGTACTAGCAAGGTGTACCTAATAAAGTGGCCGGTGTGTGTAGTTTGCAATGTGGTGTGTATATACTCTGCTGCCATCATGACCACTATGTCCACAAAAAGGGCACTAAGAGTCCCCACAGTCAAAACTGTGTATCAGAACATGAATTTTATGTAAAATAATCTACTGTGAACGAGAGGAAGTAGAAGTAAACTGATCAATCCTGTTCGAACCTGTGTCTTCCTGTTTTGGCATCTTCTCACTGTGACTGGCTTGAAAGCGTGAGTCAGAACGCAAGGAGCTCAGCTTCACAAACAGAGCTCTCTTGGAAGGACACGTGAAGATACGCTTGTCTTTAAAGGTGCCATCACTCACTCCCCTCTCTTCCTCCTGCAGATGAGATACAGACTGATTTGACCGACGTCTTAAAGGTTACATTAAATAAAGAAAAAATAATAATTTTCAATTATGTAAAACTTTTGAACTTTAACACCATCATCTGTGTCACAGTAGATTTTGATCAGTTTTAGATGCTAGAGTTAGGTTGTTTAAATGAGTTCCAGCATGTTCAGTGTTTCTCTACTGCATACAAGAACAGGTTAAACCACTGTACTGAAACTATATATATATTAGTTTAAATTAAAATTGTTGCCAGGCAGGTACTTTTTAGCTTTAAATCTGCACAATAATATGTCAGTATAAAGATTACCAGCTCAAGTCCGGCCATGATTATCCCTGAATCAGTCAGAGTGCCGATCCAGCGGATGATTCCATATGAATTTCCTGCACCCAAAGTCACCTCTACCAGAGAGTTCACAGTCAGACCCATGTACAGATCATCAGTGTTTGGTTCCACTGGCAGTGATTCAACGTCCATGCTCTCTGGATCTATAGTGAAGAATATACTTGACTCAGATTTATCACAAATGTGGGAAATGGCCACACACTTCATCATGTAAATAGTTGCTCAAACCTGCAGGAACCTCTCCCTTCGCGACACTCTCTAGTTGAACTCTAACTTCACCCCCTCTCTTCCCATTCTCATCTGTCTCCTGGAAACAACAACACAGAAAACGTATTAATGTTGGGTTAATGTCAATTGTGTTCAAAGGAAGTGGTGAATATATTCTAAATCTGAAGGTTTAGTTGTATCAGGGAGCTCAAGGGTGAACAGGAGCATAGAAACTGTGGCAGCATGGTCTGATGGCAAAAAAGAAACTTGCAGTATGTGGAAAAGTTACTTGAAAAATAATTATTAGCATTGCCTCATATACAGTACATACAAGGGAAGCCTGAACAACTACTGATCAACTAGAATCGACAGTGATCATGTGATCAAAAGCAAAAAGTTTATTTTAACAGTGACAGGATGGTTGCAAATTTCATTAACTTATTTTTTAAGACATTCAAGATTTTTCTACTGTTATTCACAATAAAATACAAAAAGTAAGGTCAATTTTATCATTGCAAAAATAATTTATAAGCTAATGCAATTGGTCACTTATTACGAATTAGGCTACATGACTGGTTTAGGCTTTCAACCAGAGGAGAAACACAAATTTATAATTACAAATATTACTTACTGTGGAGATACGAACAAAATGTTTTCCATCCTCTTCCTCCAAACCTAGCACCATTCCATGGCGACATGTATTACTGATGAAGTAAGTGACTCTGTCCCCGACGTTTAGCTCTTCTGTTTGTGGCTGTGGATGGTGGGAGGGTTCTGGGACAGAGGGCGACAAGGAACTGGGAACCACAGGCCTGACTCTGGAGAATGGGGCAAAGATGCCACAATCTTTTGAACAAGAAAAGAAGGTTTCATGCTGGAAGGACCCATTGGTATTCCCCTTCCCCTTGTCTGCTCCCTGGTGGCAGAGAGAAACACAGCAGGACCCCTGAATTATTGTCAGACAGTGATAATACTTTGACAAAAAAAGCACATTTCTAAAGGGTCAGTTAATTCACATTACAAAAAATAAAGACTATAAAGCCCCACCTGCAGTTCAATCCCAAAGAAAGTTCCTGATAAAGAATATGGATATTTTGGCTTAGTCAGCCTTCCAATGTAGCGGATGATGCCTCTCAAGTCCTGTCCTCCATCCTGCACAATAACTGGAGTGCCCTTAGTGAGTCCTCGTGCTGTTTGGAGAGCAGCTCCCTCTCTGAACCACTTCAGCCTCTCTGCGTCCTCAGGCAGGGCCAGCAGCAACTCGGCTTCCTCTGCACTCAGTGCCGTCATGATATTCAAGTCTATCTCATAATTTAACGATGTATGTGAGTTGAAGGGGTAGACTGGCAACTTTGTAGGAGAGTCACATCTTTGGAGCTCTGATCTGTACTTGTATTCACTGATGTAACATATGCGCCCAGCTTTGATGTGTCCAGGATATTTAGGAGTTTCTATTATTATGAAGTAAAGGTTGTCTGTTGATGTCATGTTGCTGAGGCCAGGAGATGTAGCTGGGTACTGTACAGAAACACACACACACACACACACACACACAGTGTTGATATACAAGTGCTAATAACAACAACAAACAATAAGCCTATTACTAACTTAGTTAGCTGAAGACCAGTTTATTAACTCCAGCGAGCTAAACTGGAATTAGCTGGATACCAGCTTATTATCTCCTGCTCTAACTAAAGACATATAAACACTGTTATTATACAACGGCAAACTGAAACTAAGCTAGCACTATAAACGTAAAATGTAAAATCAAAGGAACATCGTTAATCTAGAATAAGTCAGACTGATTTCCTCTCTTTCTTAAACGAACATTTGTGACAAATTTGGCGTACAATAACGTTACCTTCACTTGTTCAGCAACGTTAAAGTTTTCTTTCTGTTGTTTCTCCGCTCCTTGTGGTTTATGTCCAACCAGCTGTCTTGATAAGTTTCACTTCCCCTTTCATTTCATTTCAGAGCGGCGTCAGTTTCACGGCAAGTTAACCGTTTCACGCTGGACGCTGGAGTTAGCTTCCGATTTGGCAGCTAAGATAAAAAAAAGTCAAGAGGAACTTCACGCCAACATGCAGTGCACTGCAAGTACCCGGATGATACACTCAAAACGTTAAAAAAAAAAATTGTGCGTAAAACGATGGACACTTCTCGCCCTCAGCAGTCGCCATCTTGGCTACGTAGCGGAAAGGGAGGGACCATTAATGTATTTCCAACCTTGTCAAAACAGCGACCGAAGAGGGAGCACACATCGTCGGCGCCGATGGCGCCTTGATTTTTACGTCGCATGACACCGAAGGCACGCAAAGGAAAGGAAGACGTTTATTTTGAAGTCAAGTGAGCAAAGCAGCCGGCTGGTGGGCGTCCACCATCGCGGTCACTTGTTGCGATCGTCATTTCCGTTAAGTGTACAACGGTAGTATTTACCCTTTTGAAATTCACACATTACGCCAGTGAGTGAGTGTACTGTGTACACTGTGTACTACACGCCAGTGCACTGAATTAAGTATCTTATTTGAGAAACAGCACCACTTTCACAGTTGTGAAACCGTCACTTTATTTGTGAAGATGCTAAACAGGGAGAGTTCACTGCTTCTGCTATAGAAGTCTATAAGAGTCTACAGCTCTCAATTTAATTAAATAGTATTTAAGTTATTTATTCCCTTTGATACACAACCAAAATATCTTCGTAGGTTGTTCAATTGATTAATTTACTCTTGGAATTCTCTCACCCTTCTTCCAACTGGCCATAGTCAATGAAGCCAAGTCATTGCTTCTGCCAATCTCATTTTCCTCACTTGTGCTAAAACCTTTACTGTGGCCACTTACTACTAGTAAAACCTCCATGTAAGTCTGTCTGTGTGTGTGGCCTTATTTTACTATATTTGTGGGGTCGGCAAACTAGGCACCCACTATACTTGTGGGGTGGGGTGGGGTGTGTGTGTGTGTGTGTCATCAAGGAAAAATGTGGTCCTGGAGCCTGCTACTGTAGCAGGAACTACCACAGAGGTGGCAGGTGTTTTAGAATGACTGTCAGTCTGTGGACAGATTTTAATCGCAACTGTGCAAGATACAGTCACAAAACTTTACAGGAGTGTAGTTTAGATCAAAAAGAAGTCCAAGTTTGAAGATGGGTGTAGTCTGATTACTCATGGGTCAGAAGGTCAACATGTTGACAGGCGTGGCTGATGTGATCCCATTGCAATTTCCTTCTGTCTTACTATCTGTTCTTGTTACACTCTGTTCATGTCTTATTTTCCTTACTTTTTCCTTCTGTCTATCTCCCCTGTTCTCTATTCCTATTCCTGTGGTTCTGTTACTCATAGTCAAATGCATAGCTTCAACCCTGTCCCTATTTTTCTTTGTCATTTTCCCTTTCCCTCTCTACTTCCCTTGTCCTTTTAATTTCTTTAGTTTTTTTTCCCCAGTTCTCTGTGCTTTTGTTTACTTGTCTTTTAATATTGTTTCTCGCTGCCTTTCCTACACTCTTTCTCCCCTTCTTTTCCCTTTCTCTTATGCACCTCCTTTCCATGTAGCCCTCACCATTTTGTAACTTTATTTACTTTCTGCACCCTATAGAAAACACACTGACAATACAGATTTAATGCCTCAGACTTGTTTACAATGTGTTATGACCGTGCTCAGGTGGACACAACAAAATGCAGACACACACACCACAGATAACAATTAATAAAGAATATTTTTAACAGACCAACTTAAACCGAATTAAAGTGCTAAATTCAATATACAACATCTGGTGTGGTGTGCATGAGTAAAGGATGTGATTGCAGGTCTTTTAAGGTGCAAAACAAAAGGATGAACTAAGATGACATAAGATCTTAGATAAGATGACATCAACGCAGAATGTGGGGTGCTTGTGTTGAAGAGCAGTGAGTGGTTAGTTTGCAGCCAAGACTTATGCCCGGGAACATACTGGACGCTACAGGTGTTCCAGGTACACCAGACAGCTACCTACAGAGCATTGCTATACAGACTAGCATGAGATCCAAATCTCAAGAAGACCCTCGTAGTGATCACAAATGTATATCAGGCAGGACCAACCTCACCTGAAACCAAGATTTTCTGGAACCGAACTGCCACAATTCATCCAATTTGTGCAGGGTGGAAATTGTTCAAGAGGATACAGTTGCCTTTTCTACTTTTAAGTAGAGTTGTAGTGAGAAAAAGTTTGTGTAAATAGAAAAAAAATGCACTGCACTTGGTGGAGAGATGGGCATGGGCCATAGAAGAACTGGACTTATTTTCACTTAAGTCTGGTTTATGTTATTTGACATTGGCCTTAATAATTTCTTAATTCAACATTACAGAAGTAAAACAATATTGTTATAAATTATGCAAGCCTGATAAACTTTCCCCACAACAAAGCAGAAAATTGTACAAGTTTTAAATGTTCATGTGTGTATTTCACATTCATAAAAGAACAGCAAAGCATTCAAGCAAAATGAAATTACACAAACAATGAAGGAAACAGTATTTTTTTTCTAATCAACAAGTTGTGCGATGAGTAAGCCGAGGGGTTTTCATTGATACAGGCACATGCTGGTGCTCTGATACAGGTACATGTAGGCATCACAGAAGAGACGCTTGGCCACACCTTTCATATCTCGAGGCACCTGATTGGCCAGCTCGTCGAGAGACATTTCCAGGTATGTGCCGACCTCAGGGCAGTTTTGCACCTTGGGGATGTAGAAGACTTCTCTTTCTCCTGAACACAATGACACAACTGAGCCCAAGAGTATTTGTCAAACTGATGCCTGTGATGAGACTGTGCATAAAAACAGGCCGACTCACCTTGTCTGTCCGCCATGCTGTCGAAGAAGATCCAGTCTTCACTGTTCGGTCCGTATTTGATGAAGGACGCGTAGTGGCTCGTCTCGATGCAGAGCACAGCAAACAGCACCAGTTTGTCCCTGGTCATCTGTGTGTGAGATTTGCCGTGATCCAGGTAACCTTTGGGAACGTCCAGAGCGGCTGGCTGGTGGGACCGGCGCTGCGAATGAGAATGCACCTAAAGAGAAAGACAAATTAACAATGATGAATGAATTAATGATCATTGTCATTTTCTATTTTCTTCTATAGTCTTATGTTTGGTTATATCCATGAATGTCTGTGACTGAGCAAGTGTTACACTTTTCCCACTGGCCACTGCTATTTCAAAATGACAAAACGCAAAGAGTCTCTATTACGTCATCAGGGTGTGTTGACAGTGGATCCACAAGAATTTTCAACTTCTGTACTTCCTGAAAATCTGATTGGGACCTTTATTTACCTCAACTGCTTAAGGTGACTTGCATTTATTAGAGGCACGTCTTTCTTTCAAGAATTCCCTCTGTTTGATATGTATTGTTGGTCATACCAGTATTTAAGTAAGATCACCATTTCAAATGGAGTTTATTTACTGCGTGACACAATAGCCAAACAAATGCAGTTGAAAGTATGCATAAACACACTAAAACTAGCAAAAAAAGTATCGTCCTCTCTAACTTCCTAGTCTGAATGCGGTCAAGGCTCAACTCCCAGGTCATCAATGCTGAAGTCCAATTTGAGTCACGAGTCTAGAAAATCAGGACTTGAGTCAGACTCATTCCTGGTATGCAGTGGTCAGTACCTACTAAAAGTAGTCCACGGAAGGACAGTTGGTGAACTGGTGACAGGGTCATAGGCGGCCAAGGCACATTGTTACCATGGGGAGGCTGTCCCATGTGGCGTAATCCCACAGAAGAGCTACTGTACCACAAACTGCTGAAAACCTCAATGTTGGCTATGCTAAAGCTTGCAGAAAACACAGTGCATTGCAGCTTGCTCATATGGGGCTGCGTAGCCGCAGACTGGTCAAGTGCCCATGCTGACCCCTGTCCACTGCTGAAAGCGCCTAAGATAGGCATGTTAGCATCAGGGCTGGACCATGGTGATATGGTAGTAGGTAGCCTGGTCTGATTAGTCATTCTCTTACGTCATGTGGACGGCCGGGTGTGTGTGAGCATCGTTTACCTGGGGAAGAAAGAGGCAAGCTGTCGGAGGGAGTGTGATGCTCTGCTGGGAAACCTTGGTTCGTGGCATTTAATCCGATTAAATATCACCTACCTACACATTACTAGAACAACATTGCTGGCAATGGTATTCATTTATGCCAGTGGCCTCTTAAGCAGGACAATGCACCCTGCCACACTGCAAGAATTGTTCAGGAATGCTGAGACGAACATGACAAAGAGTTCAAGGTGTTGTCTTGGCCTCCAAATTCCCCTGATCTCAATCTGATTGAGCCTCTGTGGGATGTGCTGGAAGAACAAGTCTAATCAATGGAGGCCCCATCTCGCAACTTACAGGACTTAAAAGAGCTGGTGCCTGATACCACAGGAACACCTTCAGAGGTCTTGTGGAGTCCATGCCGCGATGGGTCAGAGCTGTTTTGGGGGCATGACGGGGACCTACATAATATTCAGGAGGTGGTTTTAATATGTAATGAATCAGCATTAAACTATGCAGTCTATTTGACTGTATAGTTCAATGATGATTCTGATAGCTTTTATTTTCTATAGATATTTGTTTGTTTCCTCCCTGTATTACAGCCCTTGCAGATAAAATCACACAGGTGTCCAGACAATGACACAAACCTGAGATGAGCACATCTTGCAGAAGACTTTGAATCCTGTCTGGCTGAAGAGGGGATCTTTAAAACAGTTGGTGCACTCTTCCTCAGCCAGGTGTCCACACAGGACGCACTGCTGAGGACCTGAAAAACACACACACACACACACACACACACACACACACCACATGTTGTATTCACTTGTGTTTTTTTACATGTTAGTCTGTGTGCACTGTGCATATGTGTCTGTAAACCTTCAGAAAGGAGGTCAGTGACGTCCAGCTCCAGAGAGGGAACGATTTTTTCAAACATCTTGAATTTCTTTCCAAAGCGAGGCATCTGGAGGATGAGGCAGGAGGGCACCTGTAAAGATAAGACAAGGAAATAAGAAGTCCAGGAGATGAGAGAATCTTTGTCCGACAGAGCCAGCTACTGGAAAGTTTGTTCCTTCATCAGATAGAATGACAGACCTCTCACTCACTTTGATACTGTTGTGCATTGCATTATTGTTTTCAATTAAATCACCTTGAACTTTCTTCAAATATGTATTAAAAGAGCAAGGCCAGTCACACACACACACACATACACGCACGCACACACATAGATATAAACTATATGTGGTGTGAATTTACTGTACTATAATTGATGCTATGTTCTAAGTTTGATTGCATATTTCTTTGTCTATTTTCTAATGCATAGTTCCACGTTTATCATTTTGCTTTCCTCAGCTACAGCAGCTGTATTCTGTGAATTTACAGATAGTTTTTTTTAACTGTCTAATTTTTTCAAAACTCTACACACATCTAAAAATGCACACAAAATGCAAAGTGCCACAAAATGAAACACTGCATTGAAAATATCATACGGTAAAAACATCTAAAATCCAAGTATTTGCATCAAATACCAAACACTTTTTCAGTATAGGAATTTTTTGGATACACCATGTTCTAAATCTAAAGCTCCTCTGTTTTCCATAGGCTAGTATATATAGTACATTTCCATACAGTGTTCTAAAGTGATCTTCTGAGAGGTTGAAATGTTCACAGTACAATAATCACTAATGCAATGTTGACACAGAATATAGTTATTTTTCCAACATGTTACTGTTGTAACTGCAGTACAGTGTTGTGTCTGAGCATTTTTACTCTATATTTTTGCAGTTCTCTTTTTCTGAAGTCAGTCAGGTTTTTATCAAAACATTTGGCGTCTAAGTCTTGAAGCTCTGGTGAAAAGGTTTAATTCTTTAGTGACAATGTTGAAGTGATTGACTGACTTTGCATGTTTTGACACATGTGAACAAGGTTTTGATTTAGAGTCTTTTGCACAAGTGATTTAATATTATGGGAAATGCATTAACTATTTTGAGAACTGCATATATATATAAACATAAAAAGAAATCCAGGGGGGTCTCACCTCTGCCAGTTTGAGTCCTGAACTGTGGAAAGAATGTTCCAGCAGCTGCTGGACTGTAGGCAGCACCAGACTGTGGTTCTGGTCCGGGAAGATCTGATAGCAGTAACTATCCTGCACTTTACCATGAGCTGAGCTAAATGGGAGAAGACGAGTAATTAACAACCATCTCATGAAGGAGTTGTCACAATTCATTATACGTGAGCTATATGGTGGGACATTAGTATGTAAGTGTTTAGCAGTGGTGTTGTGAGCGTACAGTTTGAGTAGAGGGTCCAGGGCGAGAATATGGTGCATGATGACAATGAGGAACTCCTCTGGGTCTAAAAGGCAACAGTCACATCAACAGTCACTTTAAACCAAATAACATATCATGTGATTTTAAGCTTTCAACAACTCTGCACGTCACACTGACCTTTCTCATCCGTGGTGAAGGAGTGACTGTAGCCATGTTTCTGCAGCTGCTGCCGCAGCTTCATGATGTGCCGTCCTTCCACAAAGCCCTTACTGCAAACAACACACACAACATAACATGAGTGTTTTTTTTACAAATTGAATTAAATATTTTGCAAAATACATAAAATATAAAATACATAAAAGCACCTTCGGAGGGGGTTGACAATGTCATGGAGTAGTGTGTTCTGAATTGGGGTATCTCGAGGTGCTGTTGATTTAAACAGCATCGAGTCCAGCACAGAGGAGCAGGAAAACAAACTGAAAACACAGAAAAGAACAGTGGGTTGACACGAGAAAAGTCACATGACAGTACGACAAAAAGCAAAACTCTGCATTAAATTCAGGGCTGCTCAGCTTTTCAAACTATTGCCTTCATGAGCTATGTGAATTTGATTGTTGTTTGCTACAGTTCAGCAGGTGACCCACAGAGAAAAGAGAGTTTTGAAAATGCTGTCTGATTACAATTTTGTTATCAGTGTCTATAGTAAAACCTTTCCTAAAAATATTGTTCACAGAACTAGTTCATAAACTCAAGCAGGTTATAAGTCTGTACAAGTTAAATTCCACCGTGTACAGAAACTAACATCTGTCTGGAATATAGGAATGAATGAAAAGCATCTGCATGCATCACAATCCATCTTATTGCTCATCATATATTCATCATCCTGACCTGAAGAGGGCAGCATCCATGTAGCAGGAGTTGCAGTGGCCTTGGATCCCCTTCATTCGTCCAATCAGAATCTGGTTAACCTGCTCAGTGGTGATGGGAGGAACAGTCTCCAACTTCCCTGTGCTGTGCTCTGCTTCTCTTTCTGACGCAACACACAATCACACACAGAAATTATTATGTCACATCAAACCATAACACATTACACAGCAAGTAGGTCCAGCTGGAGATGCATGTAAACACATCAAACCCTAAATCATTACACAACAATGTTATATAAATTACGTATGTAATTTGCAAAACAAAAAATACACTGTGAACTGAATGTACAATATCTCTGTATATTGTACATTTCACTTTTACTAATTTCTCTATTTACTATTTTTAATGGTGATTGGGACAAAGGTTAGAACTCTACAAAAATTATCTTTTGCAAAATTTTGTTGCCATTATTTTTTTTAAAATACATCCTTCAAATAAGTGGACAGTAAACAATACAAAGGTTGGACTTATCCAAACTATTTGTCACTCTGCTGCCACCAGGACCACTGTGTCCACAAGAGGGCACTAAATCCCCTTTTCCACTGGTCAAACACCTGCCAAGATCCGCTGACATCAGGCTTTTGTTGGCAATGGAAAAGGGAACAATCGGCATTCACACCTGGGTGAAATGACTCTGTAGATGCAGGTATTTATTGGCTCTGGCTCTGTAAACATAACACCCAAATGAACATGCAAATTTTTGTCCCTTTTCCTGCTGTAACATCTTGCAGAGCACAAACACTGTAAACACACCTGTCACCTGTACAGCATGGTGCTGTTAAACCAGAGACTGTAAATAAAGATGGACATAGCCTCCATGACGTCCCACATAGGTTTCTGAATAGTGGTTTTGAAGCTCAGAGTGGGTCATTCCGTCGTCGCCATTTTGCCAGTACGTGATTCCACCGAACTCCCGGCTAATACAAAAATGGGCAAAGCAGAGGGGCGTGTATGGGACCAAGACACCAGTTCATCCCGGCTTGTGGCAGGCATACATTTGAATAATTGTCACTGAAAGCTGCACGCCCTCAATTATGCAGAACTTAAGTTAGTTATGTAAGAACCCCCCCCTAACATGGGAATCTATGGGGACTGACTCATTTTTGGAGATGTGACATATCCATTTCACCAGTTTGCACGGTGGCTAGCAGCTCACTCTTTCTCCCCTGCGGCAGTGTGCGTGTGCTCTGTAAGTGCATGTTGTGACATTGCTCCTTGCAGTTGTGTGTGTCCTCAGTCCGGACAGAATGGCATATTTGACTGGCAGTGGAAAAGAGGTCAATGGGCTTTGTAGAAGCCATGAATGATTTCCAAAGAGGACTGGATTTTGTGGTTTATATTTTGGGTAGTTATGGTTTATATATTGTTATTCATTAGTCTTTGTGATAAAATTTATTAATGTCATTGTTTTGGTGCAATCACTGTGTGGCATCATGGGTGATGCCATGGATATTAGGAGTTGATTTAAGCTCCTGTTCACCTGTGTGTGGGAGGTGGAGTGGGAGTGAATGGGTCGTTGTATTTTTTGTTTACAGCCACTTTCTTTTTGATTGCTGTAGTTATTTTGATCATAAGTTTGTGCACGATATAATAAGTTGATCTTTTTGTTAATAAAGGTTTTTGTTTTGTGCATATTTAGGACTGGCAGCAAATCCTTTTAGTAGTGTGTCAGACAAATCAAACCATGCCCAACCTCACCCTCCCAGCAACTTTTGTTTCCTGAAGTTGCTAGAGGCTTTTATTAGATGGTTTTCCTGTGTTTAAAAAACTGCTTCTACCTGCCAATTTTGGTGTAAAAAGGGTATAAATGTCCCCACAGTCAAAACTGTAAATTGAAACACATGAAGTTTGGTATAATCTACTGTGAACAAGAGGAGGTAGAAGTAACTTCATCAATCCTGTTCGAACTGTGTATTCCTGTTTTGGCATCTTCTCACTGTGACTGGCTTGAAAGCGTGAGTCAGGAAGCAGAGAGCTCAGCTTCGCAAACAGAGCTCTCTTGTAAGGACATGTGAAGATACGCTTGTCTTTAAAGGTGCCATCACTCACTCCCCTCTCTTCCTCCTGCAGATTAAAGAAGATGAAATTTGTAGAGTGGTTAAAAATTTAGTTTTAATGACTTCAACCTTAGTGTATGTAAACTTCTGACTTCAGCTGTATAATAGTTTCAATTGTTGCCAGGCAGGTACTTTTTAGCTTTAAATCTGCACAATAATATGTCAGTATAAAGATTACCAGCTCAAGTCCGGCCATGATTATCCCTGAATCAGTCAGAGTGCCGATCCAGCGGATGATTCCATATGAATTTCCTGCACCCAAAGTCACCTCTACCAGAGAGTTCACAGTCAGACCCATGTACAGATCATCAGTGTTTGGTTCCACTGGCAGTGATTCAACGTCCATGCTCTCTGGATCTATAGTGAAGAATATACTTGACTCAGATTTATCACAAATGTGGGAAATGGCCACACACTTCATCATGTAAATAGTTGCTCAAACCTGCAGGAACCTCTCCCTTCGCGACACTCTCTAGTTGAACTCTAACTTCACCCCCTCTCTTCCCATTCTCATATGTCTCCTGGAAACAACAAAGGAAACTTATTAATGTCTTGCAAACTGTGAACTTGTGTTCAAAGGAAGTGGCGAATATATATTCTAAATCTCAAGGTTTGGTTGTATCAGGGAGCTCAAGAGTAAACAGGAGCATAGGAACTGTGGCAGCATGGTCTGATGGCGAAAAGAAACTTGCAGTATGTGTAAAAAAAAGTTACTTGAAAAATAATTATTAGCATTGCCTCATATACAGTACATCATGTTGCTGAGGCCAGGAGATGTAGCTGGGTACTGTACAGAAACACACACACACACACACACACACACACACACACACACACACACACACACACACACACAGTCTATATACACGTGTAAATAACAACAATACGCCTATAACCAACTAGTTAGCTGAACGCCTGCTAGCTAAATTGGAGTTAGCTGGAGATCAGTTTGTCTCCCGCTAGCTAAACTGGAGTTAGCTAAAGACAATAATGAACACTGTTATTGTACAACGTCAAACTGAAACTAGGCTAACACTGTAAACGTAAAATGTAAAGTCACAGGAACAACTTCAATATAGAGCCACTCAGACTGTTTTCCTCACTTTCTTAAACGAACATTTGTGACAAACTCGGCCTTAGTTACCATTACCTTCACTTGTTCAGCACCTTAAAGTTTGCTTTCTGTTGTATCTCCGCTCCTTTTGGTTTATGTCCAACCAGCTGCCTTGATAAGTTTCACTTCCCCTTTCATTTCATTCCAGAGCAACGTCAGCTGGTATTTCGCACTCTTCTGGTTAACGTTACAGTTGTAGCAAAGTTAGTACAAGTCTGTAAAACAATTAAACAACATATTTCTTCGAAAGAGGTCATTTAATGTTAACAAGGAAGAGTTTCGTTTGTTTAGAAATCAGTTGACAACCTGCAGTACGTCGTGCTATAGGATGTGGAAAGGGGGCGGTAATCTCTCAGTGTTGTCTTACAGGCAACCCACGGGTTTGCCAGAGTAGTACATAAAAAACTTTGTTCAGGTGAAAATAGGTTTAGTCACATGATGCTGTGTTTAAATTTGGTTGTACAGCATTCGTACTTTGAGCAAGTAAGTATCTCCCTCGTTCCTACGTTTGCAACTTCATTCAGAAGTAGCTGAAACCAGAGCTTGTTTAAGTCTTTTTTTGTTTTGTTAAGTCTCCTTAACCAAGTCAAGTCTCAAGTCTTCAGAGGCTAAGTCAAGGTGAAGCCTCAAGTCTACAGCGGTGGTACTAATAAAACATTTAGGCAGAACTCCAAGAGGCACAATGACATTCAGAAGAATATTTTGTCAGTGTTTATAGGTCACCAGTCTTAATGTGTTTAAGTCTCAAGTAAGTCTTGAGTCTGGTTTAAGTCAAAGTTTCAAGTCTACAGCTAAAATATTATTATTGTCTAACACCTCTGTTTTGTAATTATTGCAACAGTTTACAGCCTTGTTAACTGATTGACCCATTATCAGAACAATTCTTCCAAATTTCAGGGGTCAGTTCAATCAAATTCCAAAAATTTAGAAACGCTTTCTCACTTACCCCTGGCAGTATCTATTCAAGCACATAGTTCAGGTTTTGAGCTATCTTCCTCTGTGATTTCTGATATGACCCCAGCACACTGGACATGAACTAATTTCTTTGTTGTGTGTATGGTATTAAAATTACACAAGAGCAGCTTTTCTTTCCAATTATCGTGGATAATCCACAGACTTAAATGAGGACATTTTTCACAGGAAATACTTTCTGGCAAAGAGACAGAAAAGCAAAGGCTGTAGATAAATAACAAAACATAGTCTAGACTTGAGTTTATAACAAAAGAAAATACTAAAATCAACTACTGATCATTTGGATTTGCTTCTTCTATCATAATCACATAAGCTCAATGTGTCTTCATTGAGAGATAAAGATAATCAGACATACATGTAAGTACAGTTTCGTGGCATGGGTGCTTTCAACCTTTTTTTTCTTCTTTTTTTAAAACCTTCATTTGTTAAATTGAGAAAATACATTTTTAGTCATTTTTAGTTGAGGCGATTTAACAAAACGACATTTAGGTTTATAGTAGTACATTTTTGTTATGATGATATATTTTTTTTACCAGGAATATATTTTCTTTGTGGTTTTTAAAATGTATTCTGTTATTTTGAAGAATTGGAATTTTAAGGAAATTTGTTTTAACCAAAATTTCATTTTTTTCATATTTTTTTTTTAAAGATTTGGTGTCCTCGTTAAACAGGGCGTATCATATTTGCCAAACATTGCATAAATAATATAACTGCGCCTTCTATGTGTACAACATGACGATATGTCTGTAATGAAACTCCACCTTGCAAGACAAGACTGAGAGCACAACCCTCTATTAACTGTACTCTGTGATTGGACAGTATCAATACCGTCATATGCGTGGGCATATTCACGTCGCTGTTTGATGACGTACCCTTGGGTTGTAAACATGGAGGAGAGAGAAGCGTTGAAGAGGCAAATTGAACTTCTTCAGAGTAAGTCTTGCTTTGTAAATGTCGACAGTTGTATGAGCAGCCAGTGGGTTAAAAGGATGAAAATACACAGAGAGCTCCTGGTAGGATGTGCGGCCCGCGCTTTCTGATATTTAAAAACGAACTTTAACCGTCAGCTTTTCCTCCAACCAACCGTCAACGTTACTCACTTGGCTAAAAATAGACACGTCTCTGCCCTTCATAACATAGGATATTATACATGTATCCAGCTAATATACTAGTTAATAATTTCTGTTTAGAAGCACATAAGTAGTAATTTATTCTAGTAACGGTTAGCTACCAGTAACAGGTTAATAGTTTTACTCGTCGGTTCTCAAGGCATACCGGTAAACGGTCAAAAAAACATAGTTTATCATATCATAACTGCTTGACTTTGATATTGTTATATCTAATATATCAGAATGTCGATTACTATAATGTTAAATTTCCTTGCTGCACGTTGTTTATTTTGTGAAACAACCCTTTAAAATAGGTTTTATTTTCATATTATCAGTTTACAAGTGATTGACAACCAAATCACCCCATTTCTTTTTAATTTTCAGATCTCATCAATAAACACAAGAGTGTCCATGGTGATGCACCGTTTGAAAGAGCTGAGCAGAGGCATCTAGAACCTCCAACATCAGCCAGAGGCAGAGGTCATAGTGCATCTGTCATCCATCCTCACAGCTCCAGAGGGAGACTTTATGCTCCTCAGACCCGTGGAAGTTGGAGGAAAGCGTACTCTCTGAGAAACAAGAACCCTCAGTCTTCTTTTGGACATCACTCAGCTTCAGCCTTCTCTGTGGATCAGTCTAGTTCCCAGCCTATATCTCGCAGCATCTCACTGCCCAGTCACAGCAGAGGAGAGGAGAGCCATAGAACCAAAACTTCCGCTTTATCGTCAAGGATTGTTCAACAGAAGAAAGAGGAACATGTAAGCAGCATCACAGGGATTATAGAAGATGCAACAAAGAAAACACCCACAGACGCCCTGTGCAAAAGTGTGCAGTGTAAAGATGGAAAAGGAAGTTCAAGCTCAACAGGTACTAGCTTGCAACATGAAACGGGACACAGACAGACTCAAGAATTTCAGCGGAAGACTGAAAGCAGGCGTGTTGTCCTTCCAGGGAAGATGGTCAGTGGTTCTTCAGAAGTGCCATCTTCACTCAAGACCAATACCTTGACCAAGCAGAGAAGCTCCGAAGTACAGATCAAACCTCCCCTGACCAGCAAAACCGAGTCTAAACTGACTCCAGCAATTCCTACGACTGGCAATACTGCTCAGTTTAAGATAGCAAAACAACCTTCCCTTGACCTCACATCTCAGACCAGACTGGCCCAGGTCAGTACATCTTTTATGAAAAAATCCAAGTTCACTTGGGTGAAGAGCCAGAACGTGGGAGGAGTGGAGTCCAGACAAGGTAGCTCTATTTCTTCATTCACGGGAAAAGCTGTAACTGTTGCCCCAATGTCACTCTCAAAAGCTGGAGTTGCCAGTGGAAGCTCCCCCTCGCTCACAATCAGTAAGAGAACCCCTGCCAAGAAGTTACCCCGAAAGCTTAGCCCAGTCACCGTCGCCCCGAAGACCTCCAAGTACAAATGGGTCTCCTCTTCTGCTGGAGTCCAAGCCAAGGTGTCTCGTAAACCACTGTCACCCAAAGCCCTGACTCTTGCTCAGAGAGCTCTTGAAAAGGGAGAGGCCACCAAAAAACTCAGAGCACCCTCTACTCCCTCTGCTAAAATAAAAAAGGCAACCAGCCCCTCACTTAGTAGCCGTTATCGCTGGAAGGCTGGGGGACAGACTACGTCTGGAGCAGCGACAGCAGGGGCAGCAGTGGCTCGTCGTAGATCTGCCTTCCACTGGACTTCTGAAAAAAGCAACAAAGGAGTGAAAGGAGGGCTTGTTGTTTCCCCATC